GCGAGATATTTATTTCTGGGGGGGGGGGGGCGTAGGGCCTGACCGCGTTTCCCACGAACAATTTTCGTCATAGATAAATTCCATTCGAAGATTGGGCCTCCGCTCTGTCGCATCGTTCGAAGCGAGAATGAGAGAGTCCAGCGAAAGAAGAGGACGAAGCGTTGACCACCCCGAAAGACATTACGATTATTACCGAGTGAAGCTCGCAATGAGGGGCGCGCCACCCCTAAAATGCACTGGCCACATGTGCCACGATCCGACTGGATCAACGGCAAGACTCCGTCCAGACGGTTAACTGCATTATTTATCGTAGGAAGTTGCTCTGCTAATTGATCCACGGCATCCCCGCGGATAAATGGGAAGGATCTCGAATTGCTGACGAAGTTCGCCGAGTTTTACGTTGTTCATATTCTCTCGTATCGATTGACACATCATTCTGATCCTCGTTGTCGTCCGCGAATTCAACAACCGTACCTCTCTCCAAACGCTTAATCACTTAAACTCTAATTAAACACCGTTGCAGAGGAAACAATGCGACTATGCGACCGTCGCGGAACGAAACTAACAAACCACTCCGACGAAATGGCCGAAGACTTATATCGAAGAGAAAACGTCTCAGTGATTTCTTACAGTATTGTAGTAAAGTGCTGCACGCGTTGAAATAACTTTCGTTCAGATGCGATCCAAAAATATAAGCATTTTGATAATTGAGCCGTTTATTTTGAAAGTGGCACAAGTCACTTTATCGTAATGAAAAGTGGTGATTTTTTAATGTTTATACGAAATTATTTATACTGAGAAAAATATCAGTACCCTGAGATAACAAATACAAGTAAATCTTCTCGAAAGTTAGCATCCATATTTTTAAACGTGTTAAAACGCAAACCCTTAAATATATCGACTTAAAAACAAAGTGACTTGTGCCACTTTCAAAATAAACGACTCAATTCAATCTACCTTTCAATGTTGATAATTCAACATTGACAATTCAATGTCCCTACGCAACAAATAGCAACGATTCTTGGATATTCAATTTAAAAGAATACAAAAGAACTTCTCATTTGTAATAGTCCACGCTCGTGGCATGAGTAAAATGTTTCTCATTCGACCTGTTGTCGACTCTGTTTCAACCAGACGCGTATAGTATATTTTTCACGAGTTTCTTCGTTGAACGTTACTCACCGGTGTGGATATACGTGTGCTTCTTCATGTCGCTCTTCTGATGGAATCTCTTCCCGCAGAACTGACACGGGTACGGTCTCGTGTCCGAGTGTATCAGCAGATGAGTGGTCAGCGTGCTGGAACGCTTGAACCCCTTGCCGCATTGCTTGCACTCGAACACCTTCTCCGCGGAATGCACGGCTCTGTGCTGCGTGAGGCTGATTTCGTGGCCGAAGGTTTTGTTGCAGAGCTCGCAGGCGAACGGTCTCTTGCCATTGTGGGATCTCCTTGCGTGCACCTAGAAAACAATTAATCCTCGGTTTAACGTGTTCTTTTCTCCCCGAAAAATGCCATCGAAGCTTAAAAGTCTGCTCCGATCACAGAATCAGAGCGCATCGGGTTTAAAAAAAAAACTGGAGATAGAACGAAGGTCAAAGAAGCAGAGATCACCTTGTAACAAAGATCGCGAGAGCGTACCTCGAGGCCATGGGGCGTGCTGAACATCTTGTCGCATTTGACGCAGCTGTAGACATCGCCGAGCGGGTGGGTATGATGCAGTCCATGGCCGGTGTGGGTCGAGTGAAGGCCAGGGTGACCCGGGTGAACGCCGCGGAGCAGCGGGTGCAAGTGCGGAGGTAATAGATGATGAGGCAGCAGCTGAGGATGCAGGTACGTTAAGGGATGATGAGGATGGGGCGGCAGGAGGCCGCCTTGGAGATGAAGGGGCGGATAAAGGATCGAGGAGCCCGGCGGGGGTGGGTGTGCGCCGATCGACGCGGTGTCCCGATGGGGAGAGGCGTTCTGCAGGTGGGCAGACGGCGGGTCCGGCCTCAGGAGAGCCGAAACGCTGAACGTGTCGCCGGACTTCTTCGGCGGGTTCGAGGCTGGCGAGGTCGCCACGCTCGTCGGCGACGGCGTCGTCGAGGAACGGGGAGGGCTAGACGCTGGGTCGCGATCCTCCTCGTCGCCGACCTCTTCGACGTCCACGTCGACTTCCTCCTCTTCGACGTCAACGTCCACCTCGCCGTCCCGTCGATCCGACGGTGGCGAGTCCGGACAAGGCGAGTGCGACGGTGACGGACTCCTGGTCGCCGGGGAACCCACCAGACGACCCACTCCGAAAGACAGTCGCTCTGCAACGAGACAAATAGTTTTCTCAAATATGTAGAGATAATACTGTTCTTCTATTTATTACTAAACAGTGACGCACACAAAATGCAATACAAAAAGATAGTAAAGCAATATAGTAATAGTAATCCTCGTAATCGTACGCCAAAGCCATAAACCAAGTTCTTAAGCCGTATTCGTTATAATTTCGCATCGTTATCCGCATCGTTATCCGTGTTGTAAACCGTAATCGTGATCGTGATCGTGATCGTGATCGTGATCGTGATCGTAGCTATGTTCGTGAATCGTAATCGTAGACGTGTTCGTGAACGCGATCAGAAATTGCGTGTCGACGTTCGTGGCTTTCTCGTTCTCCTGCCCTGCGAGCGCATCCTTTTATGGGTGCGCTGGTCAACCCGTTCTTCAATCTTCCTCCGAATTTGCCCGTTTCGTTCGATCAGCGCCCCAACGCCCGTCGATCGTCCTAACAGCGTAGCGATGTTTAAATTTCGGATGTTTAGATTTCAGATTTTCGATGTTCAGATTTTGTGATTTCGGAGGTTCGGCTTCTACAAATATTTCTCTGACGGATAAAAAGATCTAGGATCATGCTAAATGTTGTCGAGGTTCGAAGCGATTAGAGTCACATAAGGGAGATGTTTTATGTACTCGATAGCAACGAGAACTATCGGTTTCGCAAATACTTCTCCGGGAAACGCGGTAAGTTCTAATGCAAATTTTAGTCTAGGCTTTCTGAACACGCTTCTCTAAACACTTCTCGGAGGGACATAGTAAGGTTTAAGTTGACGCAAATTTTTGTCGTTGAAAATGCAAGTTGATGCAATTTTTCGAAATATTTGAGCAGGCCTGCGGGAAAACAGATTAAACAAAAGATAGAAAGAAATTCAAGAAAAATAGACTGTAAATATATCTTTTCATTTAATACAGAATTCGATAAATGACCTTTTTTGAGACAATCGTTTCCTTAAATACTTCTCTTGGAGACAGATTATTTTCTTTCAGTTGGTACAGATTTTTGTTAATGTTTTAAAGATTGATGATAATACAGAGAAATGCTCTGTGTTCTCGACAGCAGCGAGAACAATCGTTTTCTTAAATACTTCTTAAGATGCAGCAAGTTCCAGGCTGGTTGAAATTGGACGTATTTGGAATAAGATGGAGACATGCTGTATTCTTAACAACAGAAAGAAACACTGCTTTTTTAACACATTGGATGTCACGATAATATCAATTTATGTCACATAAATGAGAGTCACTGCTCTCAGATCAGCTTTAGAAAGCAAGTCGAAGATATTCGTGCAACTAAATCCACTTAAGAGGATCGAAGACTAAGATCAATTTTAACTTTCCAGTGGGTGTGTGTATGTATGCGTGTATCCTTACTCAACCACTTCACAGTTGTGTTTTTCGACTTGTGATTTGACAGACGTGTGAAAGTCTTTTTTAGAAAACAGCAAATTCTTGGCTGACAGAAATTTTAGTCGCGGTTTCTGCAAGATAATATGTAGAATTGCACGGTGTGAAAATCGTATTTGACGCGTCGACATCGGTGCATCGTTGCAAACGCAGTTCTCTTGTTTTTCTCATGCGCAGTACCAAGGATTATTTGATTATTGCAGTGTTTTCGGCAGATGATTATCAAAATCTGAGTCTCGCAGGGATTAAAAGAGCAAAGCTGTAATGAAGATTGATGCGACGATTTTTCGAGCCGATAAAGAAAGAGGGTGGGAGGGAAAGAGGGAGAAGGTTGACAAGTCACGTATAGAGGACACGTGAAGCCGGAGACACCGTAGGAAGGATGCAGGATAAGGTAAATTAGGTTTCCAACGGCGGAAGAGCCGGGCCGAATGAGATTTGAGTCACGTACTCGCTCCTTTTTTCTGACTGATCTGACGGAAGGGTACGGGGTTAACGAGCCATCGCGATGAAAAATCGAAGCCTGTAGGTTCGATTTTTCCGAGACACTTCCTTCAATTCACCCTGTCGGGACGCCGCGGCGGAAAAAACGAGCAGAATCGATCGGAGACCTCTCGAATATTTCGAGACGGAAGCGAGATCGATCATCGCTCGACGGACAAGAAGAAGTGTTAACTCACGCAACCATAAATAAGCGCGCCGCCACTCCACTCGAGGAGCGCAGATAAACCGAGCGAGGAATTTAAATCAGAACAATAGTCGCGGTCTCGATACTCATCGATCAACGGTCCCGATAATCAGCGACTGGGAGTTTTATTGACGAACGCGTAATCGAGCAGGTCCGACGGTTTAGTATCGCCGAATCGGCGAACGGTATTTCTAATAATCGCGGACGATCTCCCCGGCCGTGATTTACGGCGTCCGAATTTCGGGCGAGCCTCCGCGAAGATGGTTTTCCGGGGGGGTGCTGGCGAAGGGGCTGCGCACCCTCGGACGAGCGATATCAATCGAACGATCTCGCTGGATTCACGGTGTACCACCCAGTATATTATATTTATAATCCGTGCGCGTGACACGCGGTCACGTGCCCGCCTGTATAATGCACCGGTGCCGGTTAATCGCATTTAAAGCTCGCCACGATCCCCGACGGAAGGGCCCGATTATTATCGTGTCTCCTGGCGGCTTTGCAATCGAATCAAAATACGACAGGAGTCTCGCTAGAGTGCTCTAATGTAATGAGAAACGCCCGCGAACGCGTCGGCCAGCAAAAAGAAGCACGGCAGCCCGAGCGAAGTTACGGCCCTCGAGGAAAGTAATTGTTAATTGAGGGGAGCCGATCGGAAACGAGCCGCGAAGAAATTTTAATCTTCCGGGACCGAGCTGAGTTTTGAACCCCTTGGTACCCGGCCTGTTCTAGCATGATAGAGAAGAAGAACTTGGAAGAAATTTTAATCGCTTCCGACAGAGCAGGGGTTTTCGGACTCTTATCGCCTAGGTTATTCTATTGAGTCGTTAAATATGGAATGCATCGATTTTATAGGAAAATTATAGAAGAAAGTATGCATTTCATATTTGACGACCTAATGGTATTGTTGCGAATTACACCATTTCTCTCGCGTCGCGGCATTTTATTTACAATAAAGAATATTAACTATAACACAATTCGATACAATAACAATTCAGATCTTTCAGAAATGGGATGTTGATCGTTCGACGGTCCGATCTCGACTCTTCGATTGTCCGTGGCAGCCCCTATCTTCTATTATTCTTTAAGGAGTTGTTCACAACAGGGCAGTTTCACATTACAGCGACTTGATTTGGACAAGTCGGCGTAACAGTATGATAGAAAAGAAAACTTGGAAGCCGGAAAATCTTATTCCTTTGGGACAAAGATCGGTTTTGAACCCCTTGGAAGGTGGGTGATCTTCATTTTTCGGAACGCAAGCTCAGTACTTTAATCCCACAATTTCTACCTTCTTCTAAAATAGTAGAACATAACTTAGTAGCGAAAAATTCTAATTTTCTGAGACAGAGTTCATTTTTTAGACCACTTGGTACCTATCGGAAACATGCGGAAATTCCAATCTTCGATGGCAGACGTGAATTTGTTTTCTTCGTTTCACAGATTTACAGATTTTGTAGACGTTTCTTGGATAAGTTATCGGTTCGAGCACGGCGCGAATGCAGCTTTCGAAGCTCATGACACGTCTGACATCAATAATACAAAGTCACGCGAACGAGTTGCACGAGCATTCTTTTTCGCGTTGCAGTAGATTAAAGATTGCGCGGAGCACGTGACGATTAGATGCACGTCTGTCACTTCAAGTATAAATCTGTCAGCGGCCGTACGTTTTATCGTTGCAGATAGAAGCAGCAGATGGTAATCGGCTGGAGTATGTTAATACGTTTGGTTCCCTGATAGATGGAACGAACCTGCACGTTGAACTATAATGTTTTCGTTATCGGCGTGCCCGGAATTGAGAGAAAATCGGAATCGTATGTTGTTTTAATTACGAGGAACGATCGTTAAAAAAAAAAGAATGATAAGACCGGGGCGATGATAACGCGCGCGATATGTATCTGAGAGCAAACACGCGCGCAGTTCCTTTGTAACGCGTTAACATTACAATTATGATAAAGAGCTCTCGATCAGATTCCTCGAGTGTTCAAATACTTGTGGACGGTAGTGCAAATACAGTGAACAAACCCTCGCCGGCACATGTAACTTGTTTACCTCGCGACGTGATGTAAGATACTCAAAAAGTATAGTAGATACAGGCCAAGATATTAAGCGAGTTAAACGTTCTCATTGATGAGAAAATATGCTGACTGCTGAACAAAAATACACGGACACGGATAACAGCGGATATAATAGCATTCGGATTGTTCCAATCAATATTTCCACAGGTTCGAACGTCTCGAAGACGCGGCAAAGATCTTTACAGACGCGAACGACTGCCGATTTAAAACAACCAGACAATTAGATCAACTTTCTGTAAACCAGAAGTTAAGTATAATCTATTGTTAACGAATCCTGCACGGCTCGCAATACTCGCACGATATTAATTCCATATTTAACACTCGTCCTCGATTGGCTCAAAATTCGATGCAACAGAGTAACAAACAATTTACAGATATCAGCTTAAAAATTAAATAACCTTGACATAATCTCCTTAAAAATTGTTCACATCGTTCGCGACTAATCGAACTCACTCGGAATCAGAGGCGAATGAAAATCGCGTGAAACCGTCGCAGGGGATAAAAATTGCAGAAGCCCCGCGACGGAAGAGCAAATGTCTTTTCCCGCGTCGATGAAAGGAGAAAGCGGAGCGTTTCTGCGTTTCACGCAGTAGCGCAGGAGCCTTGAATGAAACCGGGGCGAAGGAGAAGGCGCAAAAGGTGGCGTGGTGGCGAAACAGAAAAGAAAAAGGTGGAGGAAGTCCGGACAGATGTGTAACTCGGAGCGACATAGGAAGAACTGCTTACGCAAATGCCACGTCTGGCCCCGCTGCGTTGGAATGCGGTAAAAACCGTCGGTGCAAACCGGCGAGAAAAAGCATCGCCATTCGGTGCCGACCGTCCGGCAGATGGGTTACTTTGGTCCGGGTTCGGCAGAGCTTGCACACGACGATGCGTTTCGCGCATCGTACACACGCATCGTACTCACGTGAGCGTACATCTGGAGAGCCTCATGGACGATTCGCTTCACGTTTCCAGCGTTCAGATCGCGAGCCCGAAGAACCTCGCCGAAAAAATATCGCCGAGAACCGGCCGCGTCTCTCGGGGTTGTTATTTTATGTGAACGGAAGCCATCGGTGTTTTGTTATGTGGGACACCGGACTCCTTTAATTCGCAACTTTTAACACTTTGTTTGCCGCCTCGCCGTCGACCCTTTGAACTCGATGCTATTTTCATTCGAAATCCGATACATGTTTTACGGCATTTACGTTTCACGTGATTTATCGCGAGTTACACGTGTGAAATCGAAATTACCGCGACCGTACGCTATACTGAGATTTCTAACGGTTTCTTAAATATATGGGGAACGTGACGATTTTTAATTACTGACCTGTATGTAAAAGAAGCTTGATGATTTTCACTTAAGTAGTAACTGTAGAAAAAGTTGTTGTAAATGATTTGTTCGATTATGTCGTTGTCCCTACTCATTAAATTCCAAGAAAATTCTCATCGTTGTTTTTTGACTTTAAAAGGATTATTATCGGTGAATAGAGTGTTCAGTTTGAACAGATTGAGCAAATTTCAGGATATTTTGGACACGTGAAGTAGACGATCTGCGGTTCGATCGTTGCACTATAACGTCGAGCTTGAACGACGTTAATAATAACAATTCTCAGTGAATAGAGCATATAACGATGCTTTTGGTAAAAATTTTCCTGTCGCGGATTGCAGTCTATAACATCGATCTAATAAATAGAGCCGTGATGAGAAATCGCGGAAAAAGTAGTCGTCGCGGCAGAGCATGAGTAAATTAAGCGAGTATTGATTCAGGATGGTTTCAGCGACGGAACGAAACAGTGTTCAAGTGGCTAGTAGTGTAAGGCACACTGCAATTCGCCGAACGACGTCGTGCAAGCCGGATTTGCCTGGAAGTAGCAAGACAATTTGCCGAGACGCAACGATGGATCCGCAAGTAGCATCAAGGAGGCGACTCGTGACAAGGGATGACAATGACGGCGATGCCGAAGATGCTTGTGGACGTGGATTAATAAAGGAAGGCCAAGCCGGGGGAACAATTAGATCGAGTTAACGGGCAACTTTAATCTTCTGTCGTCCGTCAGTCGTTTACTGCGTAGCGATCTGCCGCTATTAAAGCCGTTACACGCTTCACCGTTCTTGGCCCCTTCCGTCCTGCCTTGTCCGACGAAAGAAATGTCTGACAAGTTGCGCCTCAAAGGCGGCACCGACCGATGTGGGTGTGTTTTCAAAAACAGATTTTTCATCCGCCCGTCACTACCTATTTAGACCTAATCCGTACCGAGAGACGTTCCTCTTTGGAAAAGATGATCCTGCATCGATCGACGCACGGTCGCCAGATTGTGGCCGGTCTGCTGGACCACCATATTAATACGTCACTTTCACCAGGAATTTCATATCGATCACTGTCACGGTCACAGAGAATTTGTAATTGAAGACAGATTTATTAGACGGATTGAGGATCGGCTGGTATTGATTGTTTAATTTTTAAATTATTGTAAGAACCTTTTGCGGTACGGTTCTTTCTATCGTCTCCATTTTCTCCACTCGCTCTAGTTATCAAATAAATTATCTCAGTCACTCGTTGCTTCTTCTATGATATCTTTTTATTTTATAACTAGTTTTCAATTTTGTTTTCGTCATTTTACGATTATTGTAACACAGGTATTTTTCTCTCGTGGATTAACAAACCATTATAATTAGAAGTCTTTAAGCACGAAGATCCAGTGCGACCGGTTACGAGTAAGATTCTACCGATGTTGCTGCTGCACCTCGTAGCTCTAATTAGTCAATATTAATTGCTTAATTGCAAATCTTCAGCAAGAGGATACCTCGGGTAATAGCGACGTTACCGTACCACGTTGCTCCTACAAGTCACCAATCGTTCAATTAAAAATCTTCAGGACACTAACGACACTACAATTTTATTCACCGTGAAACTGTGCGTGTTGTCTATCGTTCTTTTAGGAAAGATTCAGAGTGGCCAGCCTAGTTGACGACTGAAAGATGAACATCCGTCCGCTAGAATGTTTCATGCCGAAGGAGAAATCGCGATCACGCGATCTAAGGGAAGATGATCTCGCTGATAAGGAAAGCTCGAGCTCGTTGTCGGGAGCGAAGGGTTGATTTCGTGCAGAAGCCATCGTGATTGACCGGTCCCGAAGAAGCCAGGCCAGCCTGGGAGGACTTAGGGTAGCGGTTGGCCTGCTATAGGTGGACGTGACAGCAAATGAATGGCCACGTGCACTCGGAAGGAGTCGGAAGAGGTCGGTGTGTATGCGCGACCGTTTAACATGACAAGATGTTACTAATTCAGGGTAGGTAGAACTGAGAGGCCGACCGTCGTACGAGCACAAAGGGGCCGACGGTCCGAATCCCTGTACCGCGCCTCTAATCTGCTCCAATTGGGACGGTAGGAGTTAGAAGGGCCGATGTCCCTCCGCGGAATGACGCGTGCTACCATTTATCCCAATCATCGGACGACCGGTCGTTCTTAACGATCGACAAATAAAAACTACTCGTCATCCGGGCTGAGGAGGAAGCCGAACGGCGCAGCTCGGCCGCTCGTCTACACCTTTCCGAGACCGGTTCGACTTTGACGTATTAAAACACCATTAGCGAGTAGAATTCGTAATTTCCTGCGGCGCCCGGTGTTTCCTCATCGAATGAGGCAGAAGCTAATTTTCGTTTGTTTCGACGGGATTAAAAGTATCTGGACACTATCTAATTGATGATTGTCACCGGTCGCTTTCGTCGGGCTAAAAGTCTGAAAGTCTTCGAGCCTAATCGCGCCGGCTCTTTTTTAAGCGACTTAAGACCGTAATTCACGTCTATTAATCGCTTGGACATTTTTATAGACTCTGTCGCAAATGCTGCTTCACGAATTCGAAACTTCTGTTAATCCTTCGGAGACCGACGTCGATATAACGATGACATCAGAATTGGGTATCTCAATCAAGAAGTTGCGAACATATCATTTGATTAACAAAAGACCAGGATATATTGTTCATTGTCTCATTGTATAAGCGTTCGATGCGCATTCTATCTCTCCGTGGAAAGTGTTCTTTACACTTTAGATCCTCTCCGCAAGGGTTTACGAGGCCATCGATTTTAGAGGCTATCATTCTGTATTACCGGCTTCGAGATCAAATAATCCGACGGATCTAATGGTCTAACGAATAAGATTCAATTGCGAATTGAAACTCACCTGAGTGACTCTTGGGCAAAGACGGCAGGCTGGTGACGTCCGCAGCGTTTCCGAAAGGGGCCCACAGTCTGGGGAACATTAAACGAACGTTGCATCCACCTGAAAACAGAAAAGCGCAGCTCGAAACGGTTCATAAGGTAGCAAGAAGTCTCTCCAGGTCGAGTTACATGCTGAACAGATCGAGCGATATTACCGAATCATTCATGCGTCATTATTCGCGTCGCCGGAGCAGCCGCAAACGCGAAAGCGACGTCTCAAGCCGCTCGAAAATTTGGTATTCCTGTTCCGTACGAGAGATCAACCCCTCGACAAGAGCGTCTTTATTAGAAAGAAGGGAGACCCTTCTCTATTTATCAACCTTGGCCCGGCCATTACTCGCTCTCTTTCTGCCTGTGCATTCCTATCGACGGCATCCGCCATTCGTTTCACGAGGTCCCTTTGATCGGCTCGGAATTCGAGCTGACTGGAATCTCGCGAGGAAAGAGAATCAAAGTGTACGCCGACCTGAATTCTCCTTGGTACCGGCTCGTTCCGCGGCAGATACAGGATAATACTAGAATTCGTTCAGCGCGAGGAGCAGACGCTGTTTTAAAATGTTCATAATAGCATCGAGAAGCGAGGAATTGAAGCGAATGATGGCACGCCTAGTTTTGCGTAGGCGTGGCTAATCTGCTCCTGCTCTTGACTGGACCAGGGCAGTATCCTAAAAGAGAATTTATGTCCATGTTTCGACATAATAACATAACGATCTAACTTCGGGAGCCATAACTGCACTCTACTTTGAATTGTTCAATTTTGATCAGATTGAGAGCTCCAAGTAGGCGTGGCTAAGCTGCTCCAGCTCTTGATGGAGCCGGGATAATGCCCCAGAATGCAATTCGTGTCCACGTCTCAGCCAGACTCGCAAATATTCCCAAAAAATCTATCCCGGAAGATAAGAACGACTCTACTTTGAATTGCTATCTTATCATTAAATTATCGACGAACCTAGGTCACGTACGATACAAACGATATCTTGCTTTGGATTAAATGAACAACAACAAGTAACGACAAGTAACACAACAAAGACGGCGATAAAGGGTCCTTTATCTTAATTACTTCCTGCAGAATGATCCGGGTAGGCGTGGTTTCGCCGCTTCCACTCTCGAGTAGGCGTGGCCAAGCTGCTCCAGGCTTTGCCCGTGCCAGGACAACGCGCTAAGGGGCAATCCGTGCCCACGGGTGTCTCAAATGATGCGCGATGACGTTTCTACGATCTTGTTAGCCTTATCGGACGGCGCAGTTGCGTTTCTCGGAATCGGCGAGCTCCGACCGATTAAAATCGATCCGTATCGGGACGGATTTCGTGTAAAAGAAAAAAGCCGGGAGACGAAGAAAAAGGAACGAAGAAATGAAATCCGTAATCCGGGCAATATAGGACCGGCCGGGATAATCTGAGATAGCGGACGGAGATTAGCGCGCCACGCCGCAAAGGCTATCTCATTCTCGCAGGATTATCAGAAATAAATCATATTTTCCTATAAAGCGAGCACACCACGCGGGCCGAGATAAGATGACCAGGCGGTTCGGTGTAACAACATCGATACCACCGGCCGTGTGTACACACCGTGCAGGTAATGCGTGTTTGTTGCCGTGGAACATCGACGATATCGGCGTTTGCCCGCGCGACGCTTATCCTGGCGCGTCTCTCTTTCGCGGCTATCTTTCGGTCGTAAATCTATAAACGGTAAATCCTACAGCGTGATTTCCGCCAGGAACATCGCGGCCAATTTCCCAGGACACCTGCCAGGTAACGGTACCCGGTGCCCGCTGGCCCCGGGTAGACCGGGCACGCTCGAGATTAGCGTCGCTCTCGGCATCGGGCGTTGCGAAGTTAATCCGGCGTGTTTATTGCGAAAAGAACAAAGCCGGGGCAACCAACCCCCGCGTTGACGGGCAACCGCAAAGCAAAGAAGGAGAATTATCAAACGACGCGCGGAGGGAAAACATTATCGCGCGCAAAAAGCGCTTCGCGTTTCAGGAAAAAACACGGCCGGACTTAAAACCGGGGGGATAATAAATGATACCTTGAATTACGCGCGACTCGCAACACACGTATTACTTTCTTATTGTTCTTTGCGGCCGCGACGTAAATATGTAAAACCACCTGCGGAAACGTCAATCAAATGAAATATGAAGCATGAGAATCGACTAGATTGTTGCCTTGAGTTTCAATCATTTAGCGTAAAAGCGTGCAATTCGCGGCTGTAAAATGAAGGAAGGCGTCGGTTGGCGAAACGTGTCGGAATATTTTGAAACAGTTGGGCCCCGCGCGGAAACGTCAATCATGAATCGAATGAATTATGAATTAGCGTGCGAATTGCTTTGTTGTTTTTTTCTCTTCTATTAGAGTCGCAGTGTGATCCTCGCGGAAAGCATAAGCGAGAGTGCTGGCGGCGAGGGTGATCCGCGGATCGAAAGGATGTTTCATCGCCCTCGAAGAGAGCCGCTAAGCACGCCGGCCCTAAGAAGCCGCTCCTAGCCCCCCTCCTGCCCGTCACCCGGCAATTACCGGTTAAATCATTTAGGCCGATCCAGGTCGACGGACGCGGCGGGTTGATATTATTGCGTTAGCTATTAGCCCGATTAGCAGCATTAGTATAGGCAGCCGTCTAATGCCGTTTCATCCCCTCTCACCTGTTGAACGGCGTCGGCCGTGCGCCGTTTACGCACCTGCACGCACCCACGCGAATACACGCGAGGAAATGTGGAAGCCGTCGAACGACTTGTCTCTCCGAGAGTGCGTGTGCGTGTGCGTGCGCGTTCGCGCGCTCGCCACGCAGGACCAACGACGATATAGCTCCGGTGGTGTTACGGGGCCGATCGGTGGTGCAACGGAGTGCACGCACACGCGCCCGCACGCAGGTGTCTGCGCGAATTCAAGGGCGTGAACGGTGCAAGCGCGGTGCAGGGATAATAGCCAGGTAATAGATAGCATGATGACAGGCGACAACGGGATGAATGTCAGGGGGCGAGACGCGAATACGCGCGGGGGATGCAGAAACGATCGGGTTTGATGCGGTCGGGGGAAATGGGATTCTGGACCGGTGCGTTTCAACGATGCATCCACCGACTCGACACGCTGCATTTTCCTCTTTCGATTCCCGTGTATCCATCGGGAAATTTTGGGAAATCGATTCTGCTGCGATTAATATTCGATTCTAGAAATGATGCGGTGCTCAATATTCTTGCGAAGATATGTTTACGGTGGACTAGGGTTAATTGAACTTGCCCGAACTTCTGAGTCAGATTTGTGCAGCGATGGCCTTCGGTTTAATAATTACTTCCTAGTATCTTTGATCGAGGTCGCTTCGCCTCGGAAGATGATCTCATTGAGGCGTTCGATCAATTGCGCTAAGCCACCGGTTTTTCCGTGACAAGAACTGCGGCTTTCGTGCGCCTATTACATATTCTGTTTCGTTGGAAATTGTCTGAATCACTGCGTATAAACAGTTGAATAAAACTATACGGATCGATCGTAGTTATTAAACGCGAGAAACGTTGCATTTGGATCTCTGATCTACTAACTAAGCTTTCTAACGACTTCGTGGCGTCTAAAAAGAAGCTCGCCGAATTCGTTTTCAAATAATATCCTCGAACGGATGATCCGACTGGATGATCTGACATCATCGAATGATCCCGGAAAGTTCATCGATTTACAAGCGAATGAATTGTTAAAACACCGACGATGATGTTAACTCGCGAGCACAAAGATGTGTCGGAACCGACAGCCCAGCCGGGAGGCATTCATCCAAAATTGCTGGTCCCTGATCCGTCAAAAAGAATGGAATACAAGTCCCGCCCGTAATCGATACTGTCACTAAAGGGCGATCCTAATCTCCATGTGAAATTACTGTTGCGGTTTGCGCGCATATCGGACGACAGCTGAAATCCCGGCCGTTTGACAGGTGCTATCAGTGACGTAACTGCGATTTCAAATCACACGATCTAATTCGTCGACGCTGGGCGGAGACAACGATCCGAAATACAAGAACGACGCTTACCTTCGGCCTCGACCGGCAGCTGCGGGCTCTCCTGAAGATTCTCGTTGTTATTCGCTTCCGGGGACAGGGTTTGCTGGTGCACGAGCGCGGACGCCTGTTTCGGCTTGACGACCCGAAAAGCGGACGCCTCGGCGACACCCCTGCGCGAAAAGTCGAGAGGACCCACCCCCACAGGCGAGTGCTGCTGCTGCACTTCCATCATCGTGGTTCTCGCGGTCCTTTCGGTCACTGTGTCTTAAAACAATCCCGCGCTCACTGTGCACGACATCCGCCCACCTGATCCGAGGAGCGTCTTTTCACCACCACGTCTGTCGAGCGCCAGTAAACCATTCACCGTTACTCGCCAGCGAACGTGAACAACTAAATACACCCGGTACTTCAGTCCTACGTGGTCTCCGTCACTGACACTGTTCCTGCTCAATGCCAGGCCTTCATCCCTTTCCATGAAGATCGGCGGCCGGCTCCACCTGTCGACCCCTCGCGAGCCAAGAACGGCAGAGCGACGTGTCTCCTCGAGAAATGCTCCGGCAGCGGCGATCACCGTTCGTATATCAGAGGTGCGCGCGTGTCTGTCGTGGAATTCGGATCCGGCTGTCGGTGGACACTGATTTCCGTGCGGCCCATCGGCCGGACAGGTCAGGAACGGCGAGCACCGTCACCCGGGGATGTGAGAGACGTTATAGCGGGTGCCTCGACGCCGACTGCTGTTAACGGGTCTGATAGCGGAGGAACTCCCATGCGATGACGGCCGAAAGTCGCGAGTTAGGCTGCGAGACAGAGAGAGGGGGCAGAGGCACGCACACCAGCAACGCCGCGCCGAGTTCGCGTCGGAGCCCCGGGAAAGTGGGAACGAGACCGAGCGAGCAGCAACACCCACACAGACGTCGGATGCACGCCGGGATTTTCGATCGAGGCTCCGCCCACGGGGCACGCCTCCCAGTCCCTACTCCACCCCCACGAAACCGCTCACCATGGCACTCCGACGTTCCCGGCGCACACCGACGCTCGCTTTTCGGATGCCGACACCGAGGCGCACACACTCGCGCCACGTAAGCCGCGTACGTTTCCCCGCTGTGTGGGTGGATGCACGTAGACAGGGGATGTGTTTATTCCTTTACCAGGTGGTGCGACACGGGCCTGTGTGCGCCAACACGGCCACGGCGCGCCGCAACTGCACAGACACCCTGTGTGCAACTCGCACCTCCGGTTGCAGCATTATGTGGAACCACTCGACCACCCTGATTCTACTCTTGACTCCACTGATTGATATTTGTGCCGCGCGCTGCTGGCCCACCGCCCCCGCGGAAATAAATGTAGATGACCCGACGGCTTCTGCTTCGCTTCGCTGCCACGTGAGCTCAGGAGCTTGGCTGTCGCGGGTAGACACGGGGGCCTGCGGAAAGCTGCGGATGGACGATCTTGGGGAAGGAAGAATTCTTCGGGTTTTGCTAGCACTTGCTTTCGCACTTCTTTCGGCGATCTGCGGCGGTGTTCGGCTTTGGATTCTTCGGTGCCGAGGTGAGAGTAAGGGATACTGTGATTGGGGGTCGTTACGGCGTGGATTTGACACATTTATGGCTACGTTGACTCTTAAAACATTGCATTGTGAGGAGGCATGATCCATAATAGGGAAATAAATCATTTCTTGATTCCTGTTTTTATAGATCGGTTTATAAAGTATATAAAGATACACGTCCAAATAATGTTGAATAAAAATTCACATCTAAATAATATTGTATAAAGATTTTCGTCCGAATAATATATTGTATAAAAATCCACATACAAATCTACTGTATACAGATTCACGTCTAAATAATATTGTATAAAGATTTAAATCTAAATATATTTTATAAAGATGCACAACTAAATAACATTGTATAAAAATCGACATACAAATCAACTGTACACGGATTCACATCTAAATAATATTATATAATGATTTAAATCTAAATATATTTTATAATGATGCACAACTAAAATAACATTGTATAAAAAATTCACTTCTAATTAATATTGTATAAATATTGACATCCAAATAATATTGTACAAAAATTCACATTCAAATATACTGTAAAAAGATTCACGTGTGAATATAATGTATAAAAATCGACGATCCAGTTTTGACAATTTTTAATAAACTGCAAACATTATGTATTAACATGCCTCGTGTTTTCAACTAATTTACCTCGACTCGCAGTAGCTTCTATTAAACAAATAAAACATCCAAACTGTGTCAAAAATCAATCCGCAAAAATTCGCACAAATATCGACGATCTACTCGCAGGAAACAAGCTCGCTTCCACGAAGTGAATTGGATATGAAGAGACAAGAGAAAAGCCGCAGTAGTTTCTATTAAACAAATTCGAATCGTAGCTTGAATCGTACAATCGTGGAAATATTAATATAAATAATACTATCTGATGTTGTCGCTTGGCAAACGGCAGACTCGTCCAGTCGAGCACGTTGGGAAGAATGATTGATTGCGTAAGTTAATTTGTTTCCATTCCACTCGACTGATTTTGCCTGCCCAGGGACAGGGTTTTCCAGCCTAAGAGTTTTTCTATTTTCCCGGTAAAAGCGTAAGCAATTTTCTCGCGAAGATAGAGCGGCCTAGCAGCACCCTCGGGTTAGACTACATCGTGTAAGACAGCGATGCGAGTGAGTGAGTATGATTGATGCGGTTTGTCGTTCTCTCCTGACGCCTAACATCTCGTCCTGCCTCGTAACTACACTCCTGACGACACTTCTTTCGTCTATGGGCTTACCTCCTTCACGGAATGGCCTTTTACCTTGGATCCGCAGACAATATTCTGATGGAGTTTAGGGCAATACTCTAAAATGATTTTTCAAATATTTTCGAATTATATCCAACCTTTCCTTTTGAAATAAACAATTCATGTGTAAAACAGTCAAATAAGGGGGTGAAAATATTTTTGATCAGTAAAATAATACGTAAACAATTGTATAGGGTGCCTTTTCTCCAAGAAAAATAATTCCAAATGAATGAATATTTTCTGTATTATATGAAAAGAGGTGACGTTTATCGTGCCTTTTACGAGTTAAAATTTATAGTAGGTCTATTATACAGCTGCAGTGGTTTCGCAGGCGTTATTTTGTATAAATTTATCGATTCTACGAACCTTTTGCACCGTCAATAAATCAGCATTACTTCGTTCGTAATAATTTCTCTGTTAAAACGAGAGACTTTTTCCTAGACACATCATCCTAGACCTTGATGATAACACAATCAAATTCTCTCTCGATTAACCCTGTTGCAGATTAGATGCCAAAACTAACGGTATTAAATAATCTATTAAAGCTTTTACATTTCTTATGGGATGCAAAACTTGAAAAATATTTTCGTGGAAATTCATACTAATCCTTAACGTTTTCAGTAATCCTATTGTTGCGTCACCGAACCACTATTGTCTTTGAATATCTGACAGCATCTGTACCTTTTTGAATAGGAGCATATGCACCTTTCGTCCTTCGAATGCGCCGAACGAACGCGATTTATCAGTGACAAAGAATGAAACGATAGTGCACATTGTTAGGACGTTAAGCCTAAATGTCCAATAAAACATTTCTTCGGAACATCCGTGTTTACCAGAGAAACGATCAAGGTGGAAAATTCTTCGTCGACGATAACCCGGCGCAGACTGCAAGTGGCATGCAATAAACTGTTAATCGCATAAGCCGTAGATTGCTTGGCCGACAGTCGTTCGATCGAGAGCTTCGTCATAGATCCCGATCGCAATAGTGCGTAATTGGCGTCCAGTAAGTCCGAAAATCTCGAAGGGGACTCGATCTTATCGTGACGAATTGCCTTCGCGAAAGCGGGACGCCGCCGTTGTCGAGAGGTGGGAATCACGTGAGAGCCGGCAATGACAACTGCGCACTCGCTTCAAATTCCTTTTCCCGAGAAAATCGATGCATTCTTCGGACGCTCCGAATCCTCGAATCATCGATAATCTCGCTTCTTCCACTCCCGAGGCGTCCCGTCCCTTTTCCACGGCCGGCTGTCGGAAAGAAAGAGCGCCGAATTAATGCGGTGTGATTGATGCAACGGACGCGGCTACGCGCGATTTCCACATACCCAGACATAAGCGCATAAGCGCTGATAATGCTCCGGCAAAAATTCTATGGTCCTCGTTGCGCGATCCGCGCGACAACAAAGAGTTTACTTCGCTCCGCCCGTTACGGATATTCCGGGGCCGATCGATCGAATTACTTTAAACGTATGATAATCAGCCCGCGAAACGTTCCAAAAATTACGTGGCCGCCCAAAAAGGGAGCAAATGATATCGCATTTATTTTTCGACGGACGAAATCCATCGCGTTTCACGGAAAATTCGTTCCGCCCTTATATGACGTTGCCGCGCGTAGATCATTACCAGTGGATTTTATTATGCGTTTATGGCAAAAATGTGTGGACCGAACGCAATATTGCGAGAACGTTTCAAGAATTTTCGAATGCTGTTCTACCATTTTAGACCAGTTAAAATATAATATAGCATAATGTGCGGAGAAATTTTAATTTGCATAAAAATCCGCTATGTAATTATTACAATCCTGATCAGTGCATCGGTGCGATGATAATACTGCATCGCACGTGGCAAGTGATACCTTGGAGAAATCATTAGCCTGTCTTTAATGTAACATTTTACGATTGCTGCACGGTATCGTAAAATGTGAAGAATACGCCGAGGAAAGAACTAAATGAAATCGATAGTGTTTCGCGCGAAATTATTTGCTTTCCGATAGTGATCGCGGCGAGATAATGTTCGAGAAGAAAAAATTGGTACTTACCAGTGAGTCGAGAAAAATCAGAGCAACGGCCGTCATGGTAAAAATTGTCGGCAAATCCAAACTGAAATTAAACCGCAATCGTTTCCACGAAAAGGCCGCGTTATCGGGCTTCTTATTCACGGGTTCGTATTAACGTACGGATCGACCGAACCTGCCCATGTTTGTTTGCACAAGTATATACCGGACGTGATTTACAGGCTGCAAGATAACTTAATCCATCGGCACACAGATGGACATCTACGTAGCGGTCGTTAAAGTACGCCTCACACCGTCGCGACAGTTGTACGACGAATCGCCGGACATTGTCTGTGATAGCATAGTCTCCTATCCATCATGATCGCAATACAACTTATGTACCTGCAGGGAATCTCTACGGACAAAGAAAACATGAGATCATGCTCCGAACAGGCCACGGATACGGATCAATCAAATTTTCCATTATACTTTTATTGCAACTTGAAATTTCTTTTCCTATATATAATCATTCGCGGTAATAGTAATAATAATATTACTCCTCGAAGGATTGAAACATTGATTTTCCATTTTATCCATTTTTGTTTCGCTATTAATAGTGTCATCTTCGAATGTGATTTGTCGACTGTACAATTTTTTAATTAACGTGGAGATTATTTTGGATAAGATTTCAAGTTCGAGACACACTTGTCGTGGCATTATAGTTGGATAAGATAATTATGTTAATTATTTATGGATACGTTGGAATTTCTTATGAAGTGTTTTTATCTTCGAAATTCTTTTGCAGTTCAAAGTATAAAATGACACTTAGCATTAGTATATTAGTATATATATTCTTGTTTAAAACGAAGCTTTAGGTGTGTCTTTTAGAGTATCGATGTTCAGTGCTAAATTTTCGTGTATCTCTATGAAAAATGGAAATTTTAGACATACTTATGAGGTAATTTA